GAATTCCAAGAACATGATCTCCATTTGAAAAGAAGCCAATCCATGATTTGATTCCATACCTCTTTGGAGAAGGAGCATTCAAAAAATAGATGATCTCGGCTCTCAAAGCATGGACCAGTGCAGAGTTTACATTTGTTTGCATTCATAATACCCTGTCTTAATAGTCTATCTTGGGTTTGTAATCTGTTATTAACAGCTAACCAACAGATAAATGAGTGCTTTGGATAGGATAAACCTCCCCAGACCATGTTATGCCATGGGACTGAATTTGATGCAGGGGAGAGAGCACTATAAATTTCAGCAATTTTGATTTTAGAGCTGTTAGAACTGGCCTTGATCATCTGTTTCAGGTTGTCAACATTACCACTGAGTTCCACAGCCTTGTCCCTAGCTCTCAAAATTTGTTTCCACATCCATGAGTCACCCCTCTTTGCTTGAACATGCCATACGTTACAGGTTTTTAGATATGTCCCATTCACCCATTTAATCCATAAGCATTCCTTATTAGTATGCAAATGCCAAAGAAGCTTAACTGCAGAGGCTAAATTCCAGGTAGAGGCAGAGAATATCCCCAATCCTCCTTTTTTCTTGTCCAAGCAAACTTTCTCCCAAGAGACCGCAGGGACTGTTTTAGCTGATTGATCATATTTCCCCCACAAAAAATGTCTGCATAATTCATCAATTTTTTTGAGAACTCTAACAGGTAAGATGTAATTTGAGGTCCAGAAGACTTGAATTCCTAATATAGAGCTCTTAATAACCTGTAACCTTCCTGCATATGACAATTTCTTGTGATTCTTGCAAGCCTGAAACAGATCAGTAATTTTGTTTAAAAGGGGAGCACAATCTGTAAAAGAGAGCCTTTTGCAAATGAGAGGAACACCAAGATATCTTATGGGCATAGTTCCCTCTGAAAACCCCAAACAATTGAAGATGGAAGTTTTAACTGGATCTTCAACCCCTCCATAAAAGATTGAGCACTTTGTTGAGTTTTCTTTAAGACCTGAGACTGCACAGAAATCACTGAAACATTGATATAGCTTGTTTACTAAATATAGATCACCTTTAGAAAATAGGAGAAGATCATCAACAAATATCAAATGTGTTATTTGGAATTTCTTGCATTTTGGATGAAATTTAAAACTTCTGTCCTCTTTCAACAATTCCAATCTTCTTGAGAGATATTCCATGCCTAGGATAAAGAGATAAGGAGAGAGATGGTCTCCTTGTCTTAGTCCTCTTTCTCCTTTGAAATAACCATGCAAAGCACCATTAAAGGCTATGGAATACTTAGGAGAAGTAATGCAAGCCATAATCCATCCTACATATGCATCAGGAAATCCCAGACCAGTTAGCATCTCTTTGAGGAACCCCCAGTTAATGGTATCAAAAGCCTTTTTGATATCAATATTAAGCATGGCTCTAGGTGATATATACTTCCTATTGTAATTCTTTGCAAGTTCATGTGCTAATAGAATGTTACTTGATATCTGCCTCCCTTTGACAAAAGCATTCTGAGCTTCATTAACTAGAAAGCCCATCACTGTTTTGATCCTGTTTGCCAATATTTTAGAGATGAATTTGTATAAGCAATTGCAGCATGCAATAGGTCTGAAATCAGCTGGACTTTTTGGACATTGTATTTTTGGTATCAAGGTGATAGCTGTGGAATTGATCTCCCCCAAAAGTTTTCCAGTTTTGAAGAAGTCCTCTATTGCCAGTGATATGTCATTTCCAACAACCCCCCAAGCTGATTTATAGAAGGATATACTATAACCATCAGGCCCTGGGGCTTTGTTTTCAGACATAGAGAAAACAGCTTCTTTGATCTCCTCTCTGGTAACTGGATTAGATAGGGCTCTAGCTTGTGCTTCACTCAAACAAGGGCCATTACTGATTATATTCCTGTCAACATTGGCAGTGGCAGAAGGTAACTTTTTTTAAAAGGGTATAAATTATATTTTACTTTTACCAAATATATTCACAAAATTCTATCTTTTTGATTTTGAACGAATTCGTAATGTCAAATTGATGTTATTTTGGACATATAAAATAAAATTTTATTATGAAAATTTAAATAAATAAATAAATATATCCACGTACAATGCACGTGCACTATACTAGTGTGTGTGTGTATGTGTATACAGAAGGCCAATTGCTTGCATCTCAACGAAATCGAATCACAGTGGAAATAGAATTTTCATATAATTGATTATGTCAGCAAATTGAATTCTAGTATATGTGGGATTTCTAATCAATTAGAACCTTTTATTGATCAAGATTATTTTCAAGCTAATTAGGTGTCCATGTACTTTTGCAATTAGGACATTGCATAAACCAATTTGTCACCAACTTAAAATAGCATTCTCTCGGCTAAAGCATGACCGAGCCGAGATGCCGACTTTGATCGTCTGTATTTAAGGCATCTATAACAATGATAATTTTAAATATACATATAATTGGTATATTTGAAAGAAACATTAAAAATGTACATACATGTAATTCTAGTTTTTGTCCAACTTCAATAGAAGAGTTTTTTCCCCTCATTGTCTAGAATTGCATATTGCATAGCTGAAAAGTAAATGAATTAAATATTTATTTTTTAATAATAATTAGTAAATGAATAAAAAAGTGAAGGATGCAGTCATGCGCATGAGCATTTTAAATAATTTCACGTTCTTCATAATTTTGATAAAATGGATTTAAAGTAGATGCAGAGGAGAGATAAATTAATTTCGTACCATGATCTCTTCCTATCGTTTTACTTAAATATTCAATCTCAATTCATACTTTTCATAGCAATTAAAACGGATATAAGCAAGTTGCTTATCATTTTTTCTATTACATTAACTTTATATTATTTTACTTCTATCATCCAAACAAGATTTACAAATAGTAATCTATCATCCAAACGTACAGGAAGCTATCATCCAAACAAGATTTACAAATAGGAACCGAGTGAAAAGTTACCATATTACTTTTGATAACTACTCATTGTTACTAAAAACACCCCCTAATGGACCATGCAATTAAATTAAATTCATCCCAAAAAATATCAAAAGCAAAATCAAAATCAAAATCTCTCTCTCCATTGCCATCCTCTCTCATGTTTCATTACTTCGGGCGCCGTCGAAGACTCTGCGTCAGAACACTCATCATCATCATCATCAAAACTATTATTTTGCTTTCTAACTCCATTTTCATCCCACTTTTTCTTCTTCAACTTCTCATCATCCCTCAAAATCCTCGAATAATTGTCGAGCTCACGAAGAAACTGCTTCACCTTCAAATCACTCAATCTTCTAACAAGGACCCTAATCTCATGCATGAGCTCCCTCTCCAACTCCCTCTCAATCTCTCTCCCTAGTTCTTCCCTTAGCCTAATCTCTTCATCACACATCATAGGCTCAATACATGATGATGACAATGATATTGACGATGATGGGTCATTCATTCGATGGTCATGATCGACGGATGGATCGTTGCTCGCCACACTTGATTGCTCGTCGGGCTCATCGTAGGCCGGATTAGACCAGATTAGGGTTTGGGTGGTTGAGGGTTTCGGGTGAGGGGGGTTTGTGTAGTTGGTGTTTCTCTTCATGATGCGTATCGCATTTGAACAAAGAACAAGGTTTTTGTACTTAATTTGTTGGTCAAGTGATGTACATATAAATAAAGTTTTCGAGTCTAATGACTCTCACGTTATGCCGGCAGTACTAAATAACACAATAACACAAATAGTTTTCACAAATAATTAACAAAATAGTTGATTGCATGTCTCCATCCCCTTCCTCTCGATATATATCATTTTCTATATAGGAAATCTATAGAATAAATCAAGAAGCTTACACTCTGACATCCGATTTTAAAGTTTTAATTTGAATCTAACTTTAAATAGTGAACGTTGAGAGGGTTATTTTTGCATGGATATGCGATTTTGTATGTAGATGTGCTCTCATATACGATGATTTGGCTCAACCTCAATCAAGTGTTGTTATGAGAGATGCTCTTTCCTCCTAACTTCACTTGGTTAAGATCTAACGACCTTATAAATAAGAGAATGCTATCATATGATAAAGATACTCATTATTCTCTTGTTTATATTGATATTATATAGCGATATATACTTAACCCTATAATTAATGTGATTTTCTATAGAAACCCCTTTATAGGATTCCATTTCTCAGCTTACAGAGAGTATCCTAGACTGCCACATGGCAACAGTGTCATTTGTGGAGAGCCGGTTCCTATGAAGCTGATGTGATATAAATGTTTTGAGAATTATTTATGAAATTAACTTATGCTAATATTAGATTCTATCGTGTAAATTAGGTGAGCTAAAAGTTTAGATAAAATTCTTCTTTTTTTGTGTGGTATTTACTTGTTTGTCTTAAAGTTAACGTGTTGAATCTTAGGGTATATATAATTAGTTAACAGGTGTTAGAGTCTGGTGCATAAAACATTTTCTATAGAACTTAACAGAGGGAATGAGATCAAAACCTGCTTGGTATATATATAATATGTGCCTGCCCTTTTGGATTTATTGCTTAGTGTTTCTTTTCGTTTAGAATCTTTTATGTTAACTTGAGTTGAATCAGATCACCAACACTATATGTTCAAGATGTTACTATTATGAATCCAAATGTAGAATCTAAGCTTTACAAATTCAAAACCATGTCGGTTACCCATTGATCATTTCGAAATAAGACATCGAATTGTTGTAATCATGCACGTATCAGATGAAAAAGTAAAAAAAAAAATCAACTTATAAAAATTCTTTAACATTCTTTCAGACGACACATGATACATAATTAGAACACACTAGGATCATTTCATAACTTGCTTATAAATAGTCTATACGTAATAATATATTAAATTCAGTAATAATTAAGTATGTGATCCAAAAGTTCGCATTACAATGGCTAATATTGCCTGGTAAATTGGCTTCAACAAAATCGTTAGGTTAATCGCCCCACCTGAATAAAATTTTAGTCTTTTTCTGAAATAAGGACTCGGCCTAAACTTTATTGCTAGTAAAGTTTTGATTTACAAAGATGATAATTAATACAAGAGGATGTAGAAGTGAGAATGAAATAGAAATTTACAGTGACCCGTCTGCTTCTAGGCAAATGCACTAGAATTAAATTATTAATCACTCAATTGAATGTAAACTAATTAACTAACAAGAATTAAGCACGACCCTTTTAAGCAGTCTTTGTTGCATCATCTTCCTTCTTCTCTGTTATAGGAGAAGCATCAGATTTAGCATTTATCTCCTCGATTACTGCTACTTTCTGTTCGACATTCTTAGTAGTAGAATCCTTTGATGCTTCCTTCGGGCTCTTGACTTCCACTGATGAAGAAGAATCAGTTGTAGAATTCTTTGATGCTTCCTTTGTGCTCTCAACTTCCTTTGAAGAATCCGGTACCGACACAGGAACTGGAGTTTCCTCATGAACTGGAGCTGGGACCTCCTTAGCTTTGACAGTTTCAGCAGTTTCAGTTTCCTGAACAGGATGCACCTGTGCCTTAGCCTGTTCCTCTTCTTCTGTTTTTGTTTCTCCTTGTTCTGTATTGATATCTTCGTTTCGAGAGGCCTCTCTTCTATTTTCACTCTGTAAAAGAAAATGGAAAGAAAATTTCAGAAATTTTGCAAGAAACATGTACATCATTTAAAGAGAAACATCCAAGGATTCAGAAATGTCTGTAGTGATAACTTTACACATTTTTTTTCTTAAAATGTGAAAAATGCAAAGTGTTCCATCTTATTTCATTAATTACCTTGCATGTTGAATGACTCAAAACAACATCCTTGCATGTTGAATGCTCCGATAGAACTTATATTTAACAATATTAATTACCTCTTCTTGAACCTTTGCATCTGCAGAGACCTCCTCAGGCTTCTCAAGAGGCGGTGGAGCCTCCGCAGCTGGCACGTTCAATACTCCGGGCTTAGTTGCGCAACCTCCCATTTTCCTTCTCTTTGAGTTCTTCGTAAATTTTTTGACAAAGAAAATGATGAAATATAAGAAGAAGAACAAGACTGAGAGGGAGGGCGGGAAATGAGGGGGACGCTGTAATTGGATGAAAGGTCAATTAGGGGAGAACCGAGGAAGTAGGGTGGGATTTGCTAATAAAAGGCATTCTTATTTAGGATGATATACTAGTTTGTTACCTTGCTATGTGGGCATTTGAAACAAATGGCTGGATGATTGTGGGTTTGGTAAAGAAAGAAGAAGAGATATAAGGTAATGTAATAATATAGTGGTTTGTGTATTTTAACCCAAACTTTTACTCTTATTTAAAAACTCACTCACTTTCATAAACCCTTATACACCTAGAGTATCCCATATGATTTACTTATAAACACAATCTGTAATGTACCCTCAAACTTTATATTGTATTTTCTAAAAAAAATCTAATCCCAAAATTGACATTCTTCCCTAAATAAACGAGCGCTTCTCTTTTTATCTCTTCCTTCATTTCACAAAACACTAACCCTAAGAGTCAATCCTCAAATTATAGGTGATGCCAATCCCACCGAAGCTAAATACATGTAGCACTTTATACAAAAACATAGCTTTTTATGAGCAAAGTATATATATAAAGATGTATAATCCTTTATCACTAAAGTAGAACTCTTTATTATTATCATATAGCTCTTTATTGGTTCCGGGACTGCATGAAAGAAATTAATAATGTGAAATATGTCATCAAGAAAATTGTTGGAGAAAGTAGAGAAAGATTTAGTGTCCATTTGTCTAATTAACATAAAAATATGAAAGTTTAATAGCTATTAATTTTTAACTGGGCAAAGTATAACACTATATTAAAAATATAGCTTCTTAGAGCATCTCCAACAGCTACCACATTTTCCACTTTTGGAGAATTTAGTTAGTTTTTTTGTCCAACAGATTCCCCATCTCATTCCCCAAAATAGGGATGGAGGAGAAAAAATGAGGAAGCTTCCCCAAATCTGCAGCATTCTCCAAATTTTTGAAGGAAAAAAATGGATTCTTCAAAATGGGGAAGCTGTTGGAGTTGGTGTAAAAATAATTTGGAGAATATGACTTTTGCTTCCCCATTTTGGAGAAAATTTTAGAGAAGCTGTTGGAGATGCCCTTATGAGTAAATTATAGCTATAGTATAGCTTTATATTGATTTTGGTGTCCTTTTTACGATTAAAGATTATAATCCTTTTTACGATTAAAGGACACTGTATTAAAGATGTATAATCCTTTACGGTTAAAGTGTATCTCTTCATCGCTATAGTATAACTTTTTATTGATTCAGGTACTATGGAAAAGAAATATTGAATGATGCAAATAGAAATCATATTATAATCAAATTATTGTCTTTCATGAGGAGAAATATTAATGGAAGAGAGAGTTTTTTTTAAGAAAGAGGGAGGACATTAATGAATGAAAGAAAGATGTTGAAGAAGATAAACATATTAAATTGGGTTTTGGGGAGTGAAGGGAGCAACACACAAAAATAAATTCCTCCTTGCATCAATATTAATGTGATGGGAGTGGAGCGTGATCGCTGTTCAGAAGAGGAAGAAGAAATTTTGTCTTTGTTTTGGGATATCCATTATAAAGTTTTAGGGTATACTACAGGTTGGGTTTAAAAATAAGTCACACAAGTTGGATTTGAAAATAAGTCATAATACAGGATACTTTGAGGGTACGAGTGTTTATGAAAGTGGGTGGGTTTTTAAATAAGTAGGGGTAAAACTTTCTATTAAAAGACAAAAACTCCAATAACATATTAATAAGTCAAGAAGTTTTTTTTTTAATTGAGTCAATTGTTGAAGTTTGGTGAGGTTGATGCAAGATAGTTATGCACATATCACTTGAAAGTCGAAAAAATAAAAGTTGCTTGCTACTATAAGGGGTGTATTTGCAACAAACAGAACTATAGAGAGCATCTTTGTAATTGGGTGATACTATAAAGGGTCTATTTACAATTAGCTAGAAAAAAATAGCCAAAATAAGAACTACTTGTTGTATTCCTATAACTACGTAAAAATTGCTCTAGTGTGCACATGTATAATATATAGTTTATCGATTTATATATTTGGAACTTAGTAAGCAATTCTTCAGAGTATTTATTTTATGGTATAAATTAAAAAGAAAAGATTGAATGCACAAATTCTAGAAAATTTTGAAATACATAATCTGTTATTTACATATTATACGACAAATTCTAAATTTGCCCTAAAAACAATAAAATATTATCCTTAGTTCTTTTACTCCCAACCTCTTTTTTACTTACAAAGTTTATGCGCTATAATCTGTGTTCCTCATGCCCATCTGACTTTCAAAAATCATATAAATACATCTAAAAACCCTGACCTACAAATAAATAAACTCTGAGGGCTTAGCTGCAAAGTTACGGAAGGGCAAAAGAGTAAAAGACTCAAGGATAGCACTCCGAATCCTGAAGCGCCTCAAATTAGTACTTCCACTTTAAACCTTCGTCCAAAATAAAAAATAAAAAAAGCGGAAAAAACACCCCCTCAAATTAAGTCTTGGAGCAGGAGCAATGGCGAGCGAAGAGGAGAGCACAGTGAAAGAGCCCCTCGATCTCATCAGGCTCAGCTTGGACGAGCGCATCTACGTCAAGCTCCGATCCGATCGAGAGCTTCGTGGAAAACTTCATGTAAATCCTTTGTTTTCTCCCTCTTTTCTAGGGTTTTGAATCTAGATGTTTAAAAAAAGAACATGGTGAAGTTTTTTTTTTTGTTTATCTTTGGGTTCCTGATTATGGTATTTGAAAAGAAGTGATTTTTAGGGTTGGGGCTTTCTTGATTGCAAGAACTAGGGTTTCGATCTCGGTGGCGACGAAAATAAGTTCAAAATCCAAAATTTTAGCCTAAAGGTTCCCCTAACTTCAATCTGCAATAAGCAGTTTGGTTTAGGGGAAATTCTAGTTAAAGCATGATTGCTTGTACTCCGCAGTGAATGTGTGAAAAAGGTCTTTAGTAAGAGGCTGAGGAGCATTGGAGGTGAATATGTAATTAGTGTTTTTTAAGGATAAACTGAACAGCTTTGATATTTTGGTAAATTGCAGATAGCCCCCTTTATCTGCACCTTCAATAGCACTTCGTCCCTCAACTATTTTAGTAGCACATAGCACCCTTGGATTCATAAAGAAGAGGAGCAAAGTTATCTATAATTTTATTATTCTCAAAATGTGAACAATGGGGTGTTAAGTGCTCTTCTAAACTTGTTGAGGGTTTAGGTTTACATGTTAATCATCAAGCAAACTTGGGTGCTCAATAAAATTCATGGTAGGTTCCTGGAGTATACAAAGTTTATTGTAATTTTCTGAAAAATAGTGAAAAGTCATGGTATAACCTTGAGATTAACCCTTGTATACACATTAACCTGGTTAGAGGTTTAATACTAATTTTTTTATTCATCCAAATTAAAGTTGATTTTTCAGTCATTGTGCTTTCTTAGATAAAAAGAAAATCAGTGTATCATATTAGTTTGTTTTGAGGCTGTAGCAGCCATTACAAATACTTTACGGGTCGTTTACTGTTTTCTTGAATATATCTTTAGCATAATTCATATATAAAGATGTCACTTGGAATATTTTTCTTAAGTTTATACTTTGCTGGAACTGAGTTTCCCTGTTCTTCTTTCAGGCTTATGATCAGCACTTGAATATGATACTTGGAGATGTAGAAGAAATTATCACTACAGTAGAGATTGATGACGAAACATATGAAGAGATAGTGGATACTTGGAGATGTAGAAGAAATTATCACTACAGTAGAGATTGATGACGAAACATATGAAGAGATAGTTCGGGTAAGCAACCTTTACTTGCATATTCTCTACAGTAGAGATTGATGACGAAACATATGAAGAGATAGTTCGGGTAAGCAACCTTTACTTGCATATTCTGTTTTATATATGTTTGATGTGAAACTTTCTGAAGCTTCCATGATTATTGATTAGCATTGTGTCTTTTCCCCCTTTCATTAACAAATTTTGTTAAATGAATTATCCTTTCTTTTGTCTGTTACAAACACCTTTGTTGAACTATTACTAGTACTGGTGCTTTGCTTGTTTCTTTCTGAATCAATAGTTTGGAGGAAAAAACCATCAATCTCATATTGAGGTTTTTGTGCACAGATGTTCAACTGTTTGAAAATGAATCTGATGAAAAATAATATTAATATGTGAAAGTACATAGTTCTTGTAATCATGTTATCCTTAAAGAACTATGATACTTAATTATGAGCAAGGGCGGAACTATGTTGCCCTGGGGGGGCTCCCCCCCCCCCCCCCACGGGGGGGCCCCCCCCCCCCCCCAACACACAAAAAAAAAGTAAACAAAAATAAAAAATAAAGAATAAAATAAAATAAAACATTGGCTACGTACTAGGCTACTATAGCTATGTAAGTTGAATAGCTTAAGGTCTATACTTCAATGATGAAATTAACAAAGGGATGGATCTCACTACGCATTTCAATTGAAAAATTGTGGACGTAATTAATTGCCTTTGTTGATAAAGGCATCACATTAATGGTGAGATGCTTGTTAGATTAAATTACGAGCAAGAGAAAGCTTCACACTTTTAGGCCCAAAAATAAAATAAAATAAAGTATGCAGGTACACACTTTATATATGTACTTTACACCCTATTGTATATACTATATAGTTATACACACTTTCTATTCTATATTTTGGGTTTAAAGAAAAAAATAATAAATTTTGTATTTTGGGTTTATGACATATAGAACTGCATGGGTTTTAAAGTAATGGAGGCAAAACTCTGGGTATAAAAGAATTAGGAAAAATCACCTTAGAAAGTGAGAGGTGTCAGCAAGAGAAAAGAAGATGGAGAGAAAAAGAGACTACAGCTTGTACAGTGAGCCGATTTTGGCCATCCAAGCAGAATCTTCATTGGGACAATGATTTGGTGAAAGTGTACAATGCTGATTCTTTATTGGTGTTGGAAATTTTCATTGAGACGGATCTTAGGATTTGTATGTCCTAAAGGTAACTTTGTATTTT